TATATTTTCTCATTTCTCTACAACGAGCATGAATTATATAGTAGTTTTTTTAACAGAAACAGAAGCTTCCAAAAATGTGTTCAGGACCGTTCAAAAGGAGAGCCAATGTCAAGGCCACTGAGAGAATACGATGCCCTTGGGTATCGGCTCCGTCAGTGCAAAGTACCTCAGCCAAATCTTGAGTCAAAACACAGTTAAATTTCCTTCCCCTTGCTTTTCAGTCAGATAGGGAATCACATCAAACACGTTACAGACATTTATATTAAAAGTTAATTTTAAAATTCTTTTTTGTTAGAATCATCAGTAACGGCCGTTATTCGAAAATTCACCTCAGGGACTCACTCCCTTCTCTTCCATGACAACTTGAGATAACTAAGGTCTAAATTAGTGTTTTAATTGTTTTACCATTAGTAGGCTATTTACCAGGATGAATGCACTGGAAGGACAGAATCAGAAAACCATCCTCATGGGCAAAAAAGAATATTGCATTGGGGTTCATTTGTTCTTAGAACTGTAAGAAAAGGACAGGGGAAGTCTTCTAAATTCTGCCTAAATTTATACAATTTGACATTACACACCCAAACTCTAAGATGCAGCAACAGAACTCCTTGAATTAAACTGAGACCAAGGACATTTTTCTCATTAAATCAACGAGACACAGTCATGGAAACTCAAAATCCCAAGAGCACTGTTTTCGAGTCTGATTCTCCCTTTGCTCCTCCGTTTAATGACACGTAATTCCAAATTCATTATACTGAAGCATTTTATAAGTCATTTCTATGGTTATATGAAGTATATTATTATGGTATTCTAATTAATTTTAAGTAAATTTCTTTACTGAATCAAGGTCTCTTGAGAAGTGTCTTCAATTTTCCCACTAATATATTTTGACCAAAACGGGAATTCTGTGAAAGAATACTGTACAAAAAGCTAGGTACTTCTACTCTGTGTTGCTATCACAAAACAAGGCGGAACAACTTAGTAAAACACTTAAACATTGAATATTTGGACTTGGCCAAAGCTTACAGTATAGGATATTTAGTGTTTCTAAGAGTTTGCACTGGTATTCAAATCGGTAGCATTCATGGATCTCAAATTCTGATAGGGTGAGCTACCCAGACTTAAAGGCATTATGAGTATTAATTTCAACTATTTACTGAGCTCTTGCAATATGCCCAGCACCATCTCATTTAATCCCAGCAACATTCCGAGAGGTATTATTTCAGATCAATACCTATAGATCTAATCACAGTATGACAAGTCATGAATCATTCAGCCATTCCTCTACTGCTGGACATTCGCGTGGTTCCCAGGTTTTTGTAATTACTAAAAAAAAGAACATGCTGCTATAAACATCCTTAAGGCCCAGTGTGTGAACTGAACCAGCCGGCTGGAGCAGATGCAGCAGGGGCTGCCCGTGGCCGCAACACCACACAGGCCTGGGGAGATTTTAGTCCTTGCAAAGCTGTTCTCCACTGTCCTAGAATGAGGTGGCGCTGCGGAGGGCCAGGTCCCCCTTCTGCAGCGCATCCTACGGGGCATCGGTTCCCACAGCCCTCTGCACAGATCCTGGAGAACCAGTGCCCCGTGGCGCTGACCCTCTGCTTCCGGTCCCCCAGCAGAGCCTGCGCTGCGCCGACGCAGCGTAGCACCATCCGGTCTGTCCCACCCCAGTGCACAAAGTGCGGCTCTGTCTGTAAGGTGAGCGCTCATGTATCCACCAGAAATAATTCATGGAATTTAATTCTGTGAATTAAACAGAAGAAATCCATTTAATATGCACAGGTTGTACAGTGCAGTAATGAGGCTTTCCGCAAGGAAGGGGGTGGGGGAACCCCGGATTCATCTCTAGTTTCACACCAAGTTCTGTTACTAACTAGTTGCCTAACTCTGTACACGTCGCTTAACCTGTCTTGAACTCTTGATTCATCTTTTAAGTGGCAGATATTAAGACCTCCTCCCCCGGACTTCCCTGAGGGTGCAGTGGTTAAGAATCCACCTGCCAATGCAGGGGACACGGGTTCAAGCCCTGGTCCGGGAAGATCCCACATGCCGCGGAGCAGCTAAGCCCGTGAGCCACAACTACTGAGCTTGCACTCTAGAGCCCATGAGCCACAACTACTGAGCCCGTGAACCACAACTACTGAAGCCTGCGCACCTAGAGCCCGTGCTCCGCAACAGGAAAAGCCACCACAATGAGAAGCCCGCGCACCGCAACGAAGAGTAGCCCCCGCTCGCTGCAACTAGAGAAAAGCCCACGCGCAGCAACGAAGACCCAATGCAGCCAAAAATAAATAAATAAATAAATTTATTTTTAAAAAGGTAAGTCTTTTAGCTCATTAAGTATTATATTATCTCCCGAATCATGGGTACGTCCCCACAAACCACAAAGCAGCTAAAATGTGGTTTAGTAAGTGGTAGTGAGTAGTGAGAGGTGACAAAGAGAGTTTAAGTTAGTAGTTACGTGAGCAGTACGGAGGACAAAAGAGAGGTACCCACTAAGTGACTGAGGAACTTCAGCCCCGTGACCGGCAACTCTGCGTCCTCATATGGGGCAGCAGGACACAGATGCAAACTGCCGGCTGCTCTAACGGGCTCTTCACGGGACCAGCAGAGGTCTGGGCTACATCACAGATGAATGTCCACGAAGATACTACACAGCAAGCAGCAATAATCAAGCCATTTTTAGGGAGTCACTTCTGCCACCAAAGAAGAGGGGGCCGGGGTAGTGACCGTCAAGCACCTCGTAGGCCTCCACGCTGTGCAGTACCCCACGGCATCCGAGGGCAGTGATGGCATTCCCAGGCACCACTGGAGGCAATACATGTTCTGAGAAACTTTCTGGAAGTAAATATTAAAGAGGTAAAAATTGTGCGTGTAACTCCTCTTCATTATAAACAATCATGATGGCTCTATCAGGGTCCATCCCAATGCCTAGTTACCATAATGAAAAAGAAGAAGGATGTAAGGTCTGTTGACAGGGAAGGGGTTAAATAATTATGCTAGAGTCACGTGATGGAACATTCTGCAGCCACTAAAAATCACGTGGCAGAAGATCCTTTACTATGTTAAACTGTCATGATACATAGTTAATAAAAAGCAGAAAAGAAAATACTATGTAAATCACTTTGCTGTATACCTGAAACTCACAACATTGTTAAGCAGCTGCGCTCCAATATAAAATAAAAAGTTTAAAAAAATGAAAAAGAAAATAGTACGTGTTGATGGATTCCATTTCTGTAAATATATACATATCAATGCATGCATTGTATATATGTGTGTATCTGTGAAGATGATAGATAGATAGATAGACAGATATTTGCGACTTGTGCAGAGAAAACAACTGGAAATGGACATGACAAAATGCAGAGTGCGCTGATCTTTGGGAGGTAGGATTGTAAGTGATCTTCACTTTCCTCACTGAGCTTTTCTGCACAGCATTTTTGACATTTTTCTCAGCAAGAACGACTGTAAAATCAGATTTTTTTTAATGAAAAGAGTGTAAATTTCAAAAGAACAATTACAAAACTCTTTGGGCAACTATAGTCTCATTAGTATGAGTGCACGGCAATCTAGTACCGACCCTGGGAGGCTGAGGCTCCTGTGGGCATTTCAAAGCTGGTACCCTCGTAACCTCTCCCATCACCGCATCCTCAACTAGAAAACAGGGAGTTTTGATAAGATAATCTAGAAGTTCCCTTCCTGTCCTAAAATGCTAAATGTTACCTTATAATCATGTCTAATGTTTTTAAATCATTGACATGTACAAAGGATAAACATAGACTCAAACTTGAACAGAGTCTCTCGAGGGGTACGCTTCAGAATTGTTGTTCAATCTCACTCCCGCCCACCAGGACAGGGGGATGCAGGGACTTAGATGTTAAGGATAATCATATACCATTTCCTCTCTATTTATTAAGGTAGTAGCCCTGAAATTCAACGACTGCCAGAATTGCTTTCTTGTTGGGAACTCGCCCTCCTGCCCCGGCAAGTTACAGTCTAAGGTGGGTAGGTAATAAATCTGATTTGGTTCATCACACAGCCTTAAAGTGCAGAGGCGAGGAAGCAGCTAAATGCTTCTGCAGGCTAGTGCCTGTGGGCGCTGCAAGAGCTGCTAGACTGCCCTTTACTGGAGCACCGGGGAGTCCAAGGACACAAAGAGGCCCTGCTTCTTTAAGACATGGGGGACGAGAACCGACACTTATCTAGTGCTGGTACGTTATGTCTAGTTTATCATGTAATCCTCACAACCATCCTCTAAGACCCATTCTCATCTCCTTTCCATAGAGGAGAGAACTTAATAGCAAAACTACCACTTAGAGACATAGATACCCTAAAAACAGCTCACCTTCGAAGCACTCCACAAACAGTCCATTTACAAAATTAAAAGGTAGAAATCATCTTGCATTCTAAATACCACCATCAGGCTATCTCGCTCAAACCTGATTTTTGTCGCTTATTTAAAAGGTGGATCTCTTTTAACTTACATAGGAAATTTGGGTTGTGTTGTTGTTGTTGTTGTTTTGCTAAGACTCAAGTGATGTGAACAGAGTGATGGAAGGTTCCATCTTGTAGTCTTTCAAATGTCTATCAAGGACACAAATGTTGAGAACACAGAGCAAATCTTTAAATTGAACATTATAATTAGCTTCAACATCGTGTAACTTAAAACAACTTTTCCTGTCACCTGTCTTTCCAAATCCCCAAAACAAAAGAGGAGGAGAAAGTCTTAATAAATGCTAGCACTCTGCATCTCAAAGATGGATCTCTCCCTAACCGTGGTCTTCAAACGTTCTTACCGACTTCCATCGTCTTAGTGACTTAAGTGCTCTGACAAACAGAACGAGTTTGCACGGCCACTTCTGGCTTCAAGAGCAGCACGCCTTTACAGGCATTCCCTACCAAATGCTGCTTTTATCAAACTTCAGTTATTCAATATTGACATTTTAATTTTTACCAAATCATCCAATATATCCCATCTTTAGTAGTTAGTAGTGAACACTTCCTTCCTTCAACTTTCTCATCCTTGCAGGTCTGCTGGGAACTATATTAAAATAACTGCAAAGGAAAGAAAAACCTAACTAGAAGGTAACTATTTAGATAGAAAATGTGAGCCTCTTTAGAGATGACTCCACTCCACAGCAACTTAAAACTAAAACCTAGAGCACCATAAATGCTCACATCAATATACAATAGCAATGTCATTGCAGGAAAATGTTCATACTGGCTACCGTGGGCATCACCCAGGAAAACTGTCCTTCAGTGGCATTGCTTTTCCTCATACAACACTATTCATCAAAGAGGAACCTTGGAGACCAATCAAAGAGAACTTTACTGGATCACTAACGGCTCCAGGGCCCACCACTGGCCAAAGGCAGAGTCCCAGACACCTCGCCCAGCTCCCTCTCACCTGCGCTGTCCCTTCCTGCCTCACAGAATGCCATCGCTGTGCCCATTCTGCCAACACTGAATGCTGGGAAAGAGCCACTGGAATAAATGTGTATGAGAGCCGCCAACAGAACTCGTGACCCCTGGGGACTTTCGGAGAGCCCTCCATGTGCCTCAGAAACAGAACAGATATTTTTAATGATAATAAATAGTATGCTAAGATTTATATGTGTTAGGGTTTCTTCCTGATTTAAAACAATTTTTTAATGTATTTGAGATTGTTCTTGACAATGGTTTTAGCAACAGTCAGAGAAGGATTGACTAAGAGTCGGTAGATGAAAGGATAAAGACATTTTTAAGTACTTAATATACAGTCAAGAGTCACAAGCTCAGATGCCTACAGAGGCTGGGCAAGTAAATGATGATGCTCGCAAAGGGTGGTATTAGGGAATGGTGGGGACTGTGGCTAGTGGGAGTGCTCATAATTGCAGAGCACTGTTTTCCCGTGGAAATGCAGGCTACTAAAAACTAAGTCCTTGGGACTTCCCTGGTGGTCCAGTGGTAAAGAATCTGCCTTCCAATGCAGGGCACGCAGGTTCGATCCCTGGTCGGGGAACTAAGATCCTACATGCTGCAGGACAACTAAGCCCTTGCACCACAACTACTGAGCTCGTGCACCCCAACGGAAGATCCCGCATGTTGCAACTAAGACCTGACACAGCCAAAAAATAATAATAATAAATAAATAAATAAAACTAAGTCCTTTTAAACAATAAAAATCCTCTATTTTTTATTATTTTGTTTTTTTTAAACTACACTGGTTCTGTTTTGTTTTTTTTAATTTATTTATTTTTGGCTGTGTTGGATCTTTGTTGCTAAGCACAGGCTTTCTTTAGTTGCTGCGAGTGGGGCCTACTCTTTGTTGTAGTGGGCAGGCTTCTCATCGCGGTGGCTTCTCTTGTTGCAGAGCATGGGCTCTAGGCGCACGGGCTTCAGAAGTTGTGTTGCACGGGCTTAGTTGCTCCGCAGCATGTGGGATCTTCCCGGACCAGGGATCGAACCCGTGTGCCCTGCATTGACAGGCGGATTCTTAACCACTGTGCAACCAGGGAAGTCCCAAAAATCCTCTATTTTTTTTAAATGGAAACCAAAATTTCATATTACATGAACACCCCCATTATAAAATGTGGCAGCCAATTCAAACCTTCGAAAACTATGTGAACCAAAGCGCCTGCAAATCCCCAAATCACCCCCTCGGCTTACAGCTCCCCTCCACCCCCCTGTGCTCATCTTCAAATAGGTATTTTAGTCTTAAGCTCCCAAATTCCATATTTGATGACGCACATTAATCCCCCTAATGAGACAACTTGCTCTCATTAAATGGAAACGAAAGGCATAAATAAATACAGAAATTAAGGCATAAAAAGATCACAAAAAACCCACAAAATGTTATTTACTGTTTCAATGTTGCCTTCCAAAAAACACAGAAATAGAATGGAAAGAGGGGACGAGTAATTCCTCAGAGAGCCAGTGGCCCCAAGTCTTTAAGCCGGGTGTCTGCAGGAGGCTCCTGGCTGCACCTGGGTCTCCCTGGGGGTGTGGGGGGCAGGAACTGGAAGCAGAGACTAGATGTTAATGTGCAGTGTTCCTCCTGCTGCTTCCCAAGATTAAAGGAAAGGAAGAAGCCAACCACCAGATCAAGGCAGGCATTTCAAAGCACTGTGCTCATTTCACTCTGACAACACCCTATTGGAGCAGATACTAACCAGGCCCTGGTTTATTGATGAGGAAGCTGAGTCTCAGCGAGGTGATTTGATTTGCTAAGTGCTACCCAGATGGGAAAAGCCAGGATTCTGTTCACCCCAGGTCTTCTGGCTCTGAGACCACATTCCTCTTCCTCGGGCGTGGCTGTCTGTCCACACACTTTGCCCCTTTCCCGGTTACGCACTAGTCCTCGGGTACAAGTGGGTGGTAAGGAGAGTCAAAGTACAGGTTGGGGTGTCAAGGAGCTGCCATAGTTTGATTTAAATAGCATTTTCACTTTGAATCTCAACAGCAAACTCCTAAGGTAAATAGGAAAAATTCCTACTATAATTCAAATTCTTTGGGGTCTCTTGAAACACACACACACATACACACAATATATACAAATACACATGCATACACATGCACGCACACATACATACACACACACCTAAACACATACACACACATACATACAAACACACATACACATACACACACACACACACACACACACACACACACACACACACAATGCCCTGATATAAATTTTGTTGTGAATATGACTTTCTCTACAAAAGAAATCCTTAATTCCAGGCTTTACGGGACACATTTTTAAAGTGATTATTAGCCTATAATATTTTGTTTTATAGAGAAAAAATGATGTTTCTCTTCTCAAATTAATTTATTCCAGAAAATGTAGGAAATGTTTAAATGATGATTGGATTGGGGAAGATGTTATGGTGTTTGTCTTCTCAATGTACCATTTTACAACCATGAGAAACCCTCCAGGACGGTTAATATATCATCAGGTTGCACTTCAAAGTTCATCTGCTGGTGGCACAATTAGAAGATTATTTGCTGGTGAAAATTAGTTTTAACCGTTCAATGGCTCAGTAAGTACAGAACATACATTCCAACAAGTGCTAGCTCACTGATACCAGTATAAATCAAGCCAAAATTAAAATCAGAGCTTTATTCATCAACGTCTGGGTTCCGATTTCATACTTCATTGATCTAAAAGGTAGTGGAGAAAACGAAATCCAAATGCCTCTCCACGTTGAACTTCATAAGCAAATCTCTCCCATCCGTTTGATAGCAATGAAGGTACATGGAAAATGCAAAATAACAGAGGGTCTCGACCACGTGGGAATCCCACCTCCCCTCCTGCTCAGTGAACTGGATCACATTCCTCTCCCTACAGAAAATAATCAACATTAAGAAATCTGGGAAGAGAAACACCTCAAAGTCTTTCTCAATATCTCTGCCACATGTCCAAAACTTTTTAAATAAACACTGAAAATCTCCCTACCAAATTAGAAGTCTCACAGGATCTATTAGAAAGTGCCTCAACCCACAGAAAGAGGAAAGAATTTCCTGATCTTGGCTCAGGCCTGACAGTCGGTGCTTCACAAGCTTCCTTCCTCACCTGCTCACAGACATAACACATGTCAATTTTACGAGGAAATGTTTTGGGGGTAAAATTAAACTTTTCATCACACTTAAGTTGAAAAGGATTTTAAAGTCAATTTCTGTTGAAACCTTTTGTGGTCATAAAACAACAGTGAAGACCGGATTCTGGTAGGAAATCGGAATCCAGCATACACAATGTCTGAGTCTATTCAGGCTGCCCTAACAAAAGTACCACAGACTGGGGTAGGGGGAGCTTAAACAGCACACATTCGTTTCTCACGGTTCTGGAGGCTGGAAGTCTGAGATCAAGGCACTGATATAGTCAGTGTCTGCTGAGGACCCCTTCCCGGTTCATAGACAGTGTGTTCTCGCTGTGTCCTCACCTGGAGGAAGGGGTAAGCCCGTATGCCACAGCTACTGAGCCTGCGCTCTAGAGCCCATAAGCCACAACAACTGAGCCCACACACCACAACTACTGAGGCTGCACTCTAAAGCCCATGAGCCACAACTACTGAGCCCAGTGCCACAACTACTGAGCCTGCGCTCTAGAGCCCATGCTCCGCAACAAGAAAAGCCACTGCAATGAGAAGCCTGTGAGTCACACCTACTGAGCCTGTAAGCCACACCTACTGAGCCCGGCACCACAACTACTGAAGCCCATGTGCCTAGAGCCCGTGCTCCACAACAAGACAAATCCCTGCAATGAGAAGCCCGCGCACTGCAACAAAGAGTAGCCCCCACTCGCCACAACTAGAGAGAGCCCACACGCAGCAACGAAGACCCAACGCAGTCAAAAATAAATTTTAAATTTATTTTTTTTTAAAAAAAGAAATTTTTTATGAACCTGGATTCTTGCAACTTTCCATACTTAGAAAAGCACTAAAATCATTAACTGAGATATCTGTTCCTCGCTACTAGCAGCAACCTTCTCCTGTGACGGGTGCCTGAGTGCACATACTCCTTCACCAAAATCACGGGAACACTGTCTTCTCCCACCCTCTCCAGAGCAGTTCCCTGGGGCTGTCTGAGAGGCTGTCTCCCAGCTACAGTCTTCAGTGCGACACTGAATAAACTTAGCTCACAGCTCTTACACTGTGCATTTCTTTCAAGTCGACACCATCACATGAGGGATTCAGTTTCAACATACGAATTTCAGGGGGACACAGTCAGTGTGTAGCATGCAGCAACTAACCCTGAAAAAATAATAACAAAATCAAACATCTACAGAGGACTACATTCTTGTCAGTGAATTCTCATACATACCAGGATTAGCACAGTAATAAATGTAAATCTAAAATGTTACGGCATTAATCCAAACTTTCTACCTCTTAGCAACTGTGATGTCTGTGACTTATGATTTTTCTTCAAAAACAATAAGATGTCAAGTTTGCATCCTTGCCGATGCCATTAAGAATCTGAATCACAAGCCAGCTAACTCACAAAATAACACTATCTGGGTGGCCCAAAAAAACTCAAGCTACTGATTTAATTTGGAGTATCTTTGGAGAGGAAGCATTCCTGGCATTTGGGAAAAGAAAATGGAAATCCTCTCTGGAGAATCTCACCTTTATCTCAGCCCTTAAAGAACTTCCTCAAAAAAAAAAAAAAAATCCCATAGAAAGGGAGTCATTTGCAGTCAAAAAAATAAGTAAACTAACAAGGACAGAAAGGATCATGAGAGAAAACCAGGTGAAATAAGAGAAAACAGAGATGAGTTTCAAATACTGGGATTACAGGCACAGACCACAGAAAGACAATATTTCAATAAAAGACAAGCTTGAAAATACATGCAGGACAAAGAGACTCAAGAGAATAACATGGAGGATTTGAAAAGAACCAGATAGAATGTTTGGAAATGAAAAACTGAATGATTTAAATTTAAAATTCAATAAATTGGTTTGAAGCACAGTATACACTGCAGAAAAAAATTAATCCAATCTAGGCAGAAGTACCCAGACTATAGCACAAAGATAAAGGAGAGAGAGAGAAATACATGAAAAAGAGGGAGACTCTTGGAGGTTAGAGCTAATGAAATATGCTAACCCACATCAACCCAGACACAGAAAGCAAAGAGAGAGAACATAAGACAGAGGCATCACCTGAAGAGACAATGGCTGAGTCACCACACCAGAGACTCAAGATAATTCAATAAATCTGCACTGAGACGTATCGTTTAAAGCACAGCACCCAGAACCAAACAGCATACATTTTAAGAAGCTAAAAGAGATAAAATATTACTTTCAGAGAAGTGAACCATGATAGCTGATATCTCACCAGCAACCACCAAGTTAGAAGACAGTGAAAAATACCACTCATGGTCTAAAGGACACTGCCATCCACAGAGTCATAACAAAAACATACGTGAAGGGAAAGGGCAAGAGACCTCTGCTCTGGGAACCATGGACGAAGTAACCCCAGTCAACCTTTCCACTAAAACACAAAACCGGACACACTGAAAAACATGTCTTTGAAACATAAGACACCTATCAAGATGGTGAGGAATTCCCACACTCCAGGAAAGAAAGGCAATCCGAAGCCACGAGGCCGCCATCTGGGGCCACTTTGGTCCAGGGAACAGAGAGCTGAGAGGGTGAACCATGGTTCTGACAGCCTTTGTGGCCACAGGAAAAGCACTGGTTCAGGACCCACCAACGGGGGCCCTTGTGAGCCACCCTCCTAGTGAACTGGGACCTCACTGGCCGCACCTGAGGAGTGAGCAGCATCCTGGCTTCCAACACCTGGTCAGTCTGAACCATCCCACACGCCGAAGCTGTATCAGGTGATCGTGAACTGGGCGCTGAAGCTGTATCAGGTGATCATGAACTGGGCGCTGCAGCTGTATCAGGTGATCGTGAACTGGGATGAACAGGCAGCTGGCCAAGCAAAGCCGCCACTTTGGCAAAAGCTAATATCACCTCAGGCCTCAAATGATTTCCACAAATAAGTTTTTTGTTTTTAAATTTTTTGGGGGGGGTGGGGGGGTACGCGGGCCTCTCACTGTTGCGGCCTCTCCCGTTGCAGAGCACAGGCTCCGGACGCGCAGGCTCAGCAGCCATGGCTCACGGGCCCAGCCGCTCCGCGGCATGTGGGATCTTCCCGGACCGGGGCACGAACCCGTGTCCCCTGCATCGGCAGGCAGACTCTCAACCACTGTGCCACCCGGGAAGCCCTGCAAATAAGTTTTAAGAGTAAAAATGTCCAGCACACAGAGGTAACTAGGCAGAGGAGAAGCGAAGACAGCGCAACAGAGAACCAGCTGTGACAACAGACACTGTGGCTTCAGCCTGGATCACTCATGCTAGGGAGAGCCAGCTGCTAGATCTCCCATGCACAGGCTCACGGCAGGAATGAAGCTTCCTGCCATGGCCACGTGAGTGAGCCTGCAAGCACCTACCCGGGTCAGGCCTTCAGATATGACTGCAGCCAGCATCTTGACTGCAAACTCACAAGAGTCTCTGAGCCAGAACCGCTCTGGACTTCCTGGTCACAGGAACTATGAGATAATAAATGCTCTTTTACGCCAATAAGCTTGCACTGATAGGATATGCACCAACTGATAACTCACATGCTCTCCCAGAGAAAGTCTTACCCACGTGTGCACCAGGAGACAGGTAAAAGGATGTTTACAGCAACGTTGCTACTTTAGCATAAAATTTAAAGTGACCCAAATTATCCATCAACTGATTGGATAAATAAACTGGTATATCAGTCAATGAAATAATACATAACAGTAAAAAAGAATGACTACAGCTACATGCTTTTAACACGGATGAGTCTCCAAAGCATATTATTGTGTGAAAAAGCAAGTAACAAAATATATGCAATATAATTGCATTTACATAAAGTACATAAAACATTGAAAAAAATCTACCCTTCAGGGATAGATTAATATGAAAAGATGATTATTCCAAAAGCCAAAGTAGTGGTTACCTGTGGGCAAAGGATGGGAGTGGAGGTAGGAGGTTTTTAAAACGCTGGTAATGCTCTTTTGCGTAATCTGGGCTGTAGTTTACACAGAGACTGGCTTTATTACTATTCTTTAAACTGTACATAAAACTGTATACACTCTTCCGTATATACGATACATCTCACAATAAAAGAAACAAGAGTTAACAACAATGTAAGGAACGGTCATAACATCTTTAGGGGCAGACACAAGAAATGAGTGAGGCCAAGGCAGCCCAGGAATGCACAGAGGATTAAGAAACAAAACAATGTTGTCCCTTCCATTTGGCAAAGGAAGCCTTTTCTGAGGTCCTTCACCTAGACAGAATTAACCCTGTGCTTCTGTCCTAGCCGTTACCACTTTCTCTTTTGTGGTGACTTCTGTTTGTCTCTTATCTTCCCAAAACATACACTGTAAGGCCCTCTGCAGCAGCCCCGAGGCTGCCCTACAGGGAGATGCGCACAATAGCTTTTGTTAAGGACCTGCAAGACACCTTTGGTTTGCAATGACATTTGTATAATGACAGTTACCAAGAAAGCTTAGAGAAGTTACAAGGATTATAAGTGCACAAAAGACTGAGGTACTCTTGGGAAGAAAAGTAAGAGAGTGTACTATAACCCCATTTGCAGTAAGATCTCAAAGAGAATGCAATACCAGTTCCAGGCTAAACAAAAAAGAATTAAATCGACGCTTTGAGTGGGTACCCACAAGTACAACGGACAGCCTGAATGTGGCCAGTCTCCATTATGGCTTTCTGAGTGGCCCTGACGTTGATACACAGGCCTGTTCCACCAGGACAGCCGCCATCTGTCCGCGGCTGCTGTCTTAATGGCAGCAGACGCTGGGGCGGGTGTCCTTGCTCCCAGGCCAGCATTCAGAGGCTGTACTGTAGGCCGGCATTGCGTCAGGTGCCAGGATTTCAGAAATCACGGGTGCCTGTCCTCTGTAGGGTCTTAACCAGCAGGATAGAGAGCAGCGAGCTGGGCCGACAGCACAGCTCGGTAAGTGCTCTCAGGGAAGGAGGCGTGCCCAGGTCCCGGGGACACCAGCCTGGACAAGCTGTAACCCAGCTCGGCGTTCTGCCTGCCAGCGTGCTCCCTCCGGTGGCCACTCCCTTTCTTCCTGCAGACCTTCGCGAAGAGGTCACCTTTTCAAAGAGGCGACCCTGGGCACCCTATTTTCACTGCCACACCCGCCGCCCCCTCTTCCCACCCTCTTTCTAATTCTCTCCAATACTGATGGGTCGGGAGATAGTAGCTGGTCTGCCCTCCCCACAGGGCGAGCAGGGGCGATTTCCGGGGGCATGCAGGGTGCACTGCGGCCCGAGAAAGCCTCGCAGACAAAGTCCATACAGGACGGCGGCGCTGGGCGGGGGCAGAAGTGGGACGCGTTCCCCAGCCTCGCGAGGACAGGACGGGCCACCAGACCTGAGCAGACCCGGGTCGTGTTCCCTGGCACCGCGGGGACAGGACGGGCCACCAGGCCGGGGCAGACCCGGGTCGCGGTCCCCGGCCCCGCGGGGACAGGACGGGCCACCAGGCCGCGGCAGGCCCGGGTCGCGGTCCCTGGCCCCGCGGGGACAGGACGGGCCGCCAGGCCGCGGCAGACCCGGTCGCGGTTCCCAGCCCCGCGGGGACAGGACGGGCCACCAGGCCGCGGCAGACCCGGTCGCGGTCCAGAGCCCCGCGGGGCGAGGCGATGGAGCCGGGGGGCGGGCGCAGAGGCCGGGGGGCGCGGCGGCACTTACTCCAGCTTCCTGAAGCGCTCGCGCGCGGCCGCCACGTACTTGCCGCCGGCCTGCAGCGCGTCCAGCTCGCTCACCGGGCGCCCGCGCGTCGGCGTGAAGAGGCGCCGCGCACCGCAGGGCACCTCCACCTGCTCCGTCAGCTGCTCCAGCAGCGCCTCGAAGGTGGCCACGGGGCGCCGCGACAGCGCGAACTTGCGGCCCACGTAGAACCGGTCCCCGTTGCGGTACACCACGATGGTTCTGGCGGGCGCGGGGTCCACCAGCACGTGCGTCGCGCGCGAGCTCACGGCCCGCACCGCCCATTCGCTCCGCCGCCGGACAGCCGGGCTGCCTGGGCCACGGCCGCCACCGCCCGCGCTGACGCCACCGGCGATTGCGACCGCAGCGCGCTGCCGCCCGGGAGAGGACACGTGAGGGGGAAGCAGAGCCGGGACGGGTGACGGGGCATCAGAGTCCGGACAGGTGAGGACGGCAGAGCTGGAGAAAGGGACGGGGCGCGGCTCCCGCGAAGGCGGCGGGAGGGCAGGGGGCGAGGCACTGGGCACCCACCGCGACCCCTCCCACTACTCCTCCGCCCTCCGACGCGCAAGACGTGGGGAGATGGCGGGTAGCAGCACCGTCTTGACAATTAAAACTGCGTCAGGGAGGAATTGTCAGGAACCGTGCAGAGCATGGGAGAAACTGGAATACGAGGCGCACCTGGCACGTGGTATTGCAAAGGTGTAGCCTTCGGGACGCACCTTCATTTGGGGGAAGTACAATTCAAGGGCCTGTATGTTCTTGGGAGAGTCGTGCCCTATTCTTTTCTTTTGGCTGCATTGGGCCTTCGTTGCTGCGTGCCGTCTTGTCATTGTGGTGGCTTCTCTCGTTGCGGAGCATGGGCTCTAAGCGTGTGGGCTCAGTGGTTGTGGCTCGTGGGCTCTAGAGCGCAGGCTCGGTAGCTGTGGTGCACGGGCTTAGTTACTGCACAGCATGTGGGATCTTCCCAGATCAGGGATCGAACCCTTGTCCCCCGCACTGGCAGGCAGATTCTTAACCACTGCGCCACCAGGGAAGCCCTTGCTTGCTTTTTGTATGGCGCGTAGTAGGTGCTTGCATTGTTTTGTTGTTGTTGAACTAATAACTCCAGGAAGGCCAAAAAGCAATTGGGAAATTCACCACAGATGAATGTTTGGTGTCAGAAATCAGCATCGCTAAATCCTACACCGACTCACGCGAGAGCATTACATTTTTATTTTTACAACACATTGCTTTGCAATGCAATTGAGAATACGAAAGCTAATATTCTCAAAATCAAATAGCTGCTGAGAACCACAGCAGCCTGAGATTAGGTCTGCAGAGCAGAAAATAGCTACGAAGATCCACTCACATTATCTGATTCTAATAAAATGAATGCTTTTTATTTGCTTGATTATTTCCTAGAAGGTGGAAGCCAAGCTTTTTTATACAGAAGCTCAAAATCATTCATCAGAGTATTCTGCTGAAGCCAGCCCTATATATCTGTACATGAACGATTTGGTGAAATTGAGTGATCTGAAAAAATTTCAGTGGAACCGTGGGAGCCTTGATATTTACAGTAAATGAAACCAGACTGTGTTGGCGTAAAACCCAAGAAAATATACTCGCAGGACTAATTCTCAACACTCTTCTGGTTCATTGAACATTACGATCTGCTTTAATGGTGTAGAATGTTAATGTCTGTTAACCTAAAGCTGGTTTTACATTTTAAAAAAATGAGGTTCTTCTTTACAGAATTAATATCCAGCCTCCCTTTTATCAAAAGTGTCCTGGAATATTAGATATGCCTCTTGGTACCTTTGAGGGAGACTCAATAAAGCCACTCCATGCCCACCCCAGGTGTCCCATGGGGTTCTCCTACTGCTTCCGCTCCCTTTTAAACTTGGATTGGGTAGAATCCTCATGGAGCAGTTAAAGGTGCAGCGGGGGAGGTGGGGAGGAGAAATCCGCATACAGACATGCCCACCCCTCACCTTCTATCCGTGGAGGCTGCCAGTCAAGAACGAGACTTAACGTGTGCAGGAAACTCCAAGGACCAACCCCACAAAGCAGGGCTCCCACCCAATACCTTTTCAGACGCTCCCTCAATTCCTAAGCTCTGTACACACTGGGTTGAACATATGAAGTTGCTATTTCAGTTATCAAAATTTGCCAAATAGAAATTTCTCAGGGCTCTACTAAGTGCTTTTGTTGTGACACTTATCACTGTTTTTGCGGGATTTTTCTTGTGCATCTCCCACCATTGCTCCCTTTGTAAGGGCGAGGACCCTGTCAGTTCAGTCTTAACAACAAATGGCTACTGAGCATCTACTCTGTCCCCCCAGCCTGTGCTAGGAAGTGGGCGTGAGCAAAGGACAGCCCAGACACATGACCCTTGTCTTCAGGAAGCTTGTGTTCTGTTGCCTCAGCCCTACTCATCATCTGGGGAGTGACTATACGGCCAGTGCTTAGCCCCTAGCTCCACACAGCGATACCATAAGTGTTTGTTGAATTAGCAAACGTGAGAAGTCCTAAATCTCTCCTGTCGGCTTTGCTCTTTCAGTTGCTTCCATTGATTTTAGAACAGATGGTTTCCATGAGCAATCAATATCACTAAACGTGTTCAAGTCTCTACATGTTGGCGTCTTACTTTAAAGCCTGATAACCAGAAACGTGTTGCATCTACAGTGAGGGTCAGGAGATCCACTTCTAGCATGACGGCACACGGACCTCTGCCGACCCATTCCCCAGGAAGTTCGTGAAAATTAGGAGAAAAGCAACCACTTAGGGCTTCCCTGGTGGCGCAGTGGTTGAGAGTCCGCCTGCAGGGGATGTGGGTTCGTGCCCCTGTCTGGGAGGATCCCACATGCCGCAGAGCGGCTGGTCCCGTGAGCCATGGACGCTGAGCCTCTGCATCTGGAGCCTGTGCTCCGCAACGGGAGAGCCCACAACAGTGAGAGGCCCGCGTACCGCAAAAAAAAAAAAAAAAAAAGCAACCACTTAAAGTCTCTGGGAATAGTCCTAAGGGTACACAGAAAATGAAGCCACATTTATTCCAAAAATCTACTAAAACTCAGCAAGACCAGGGAGAGTCTATGGTATGTGAACCAGGCCAGCACCTTTGCTCCCTCCTCCCACTACAATGAAGTGGAGTCTCCCCTCCACACAGGTGCAGCCACGAACGCAGGGCTGGTCCCCAGATCTCAGTTGGGGGCTTTCTTCCCAGGAGGGTTCTCATTCTGCCCCATCTACCTGTTGTGAGGCTAAGTTCCAGGTGAGTGTGGCTGAGAAGAGGGGGGCACCTTCCTTCCACCCAGCCCCCACTCAGGAGATGGGGCTCTACCCTGCACACAGCCCCACTGAGATACTGGAGCCATGATCGCCTGTGTCTCAGTTCACAAGGCAGGGGGTCCACATGGAGAGAGACAAGCCAAGAAGACCCGAGGCTACTGCCCCCATCCACTGAGCGCCCAGCTCCTAAAGCAGGGCTGCCAGTCAGAGAGAAGTGCACCATTGTCCCCACCCCCCAGCTCCAGAGCCAGGGCTCAGAGATCAGGGAGAAGCGGGTCCTAGAACAGAGAGCTCCAAATCTCTTCCCAGTAAATGGGCTTCACGTGGAACAGAGTATGGAGAAGTTCAAGGCTAAGGTGCTCTCAAAAACAATGGCGGTGATGGTGAAAAGCTATAAGAGGAGACTGAGACTAATACATTCATCAGATATACATATATATACATATATATATATATAACTGCAGTACAAACTGTAAGCGAGACAGTTGGCTGGAAAGAACAGGGAAAGAGCTCAAAGAAGCCTTTCTGGGATCAGAAAAAAATCTCAAACACTGACCTCGGGCTTCCCTGGTGGTGCAGTGGTTGAGAGTCCGCCTGCCGACGCAGGGGACACGGGTTCGTGCCCCGGTCCAGGAGGATCCCACATGCCGCGGAGCAGCTGGGCCCGTGAGCCACAGCTGCTGAGCCTGCGGGTCCGGAGCCTGTGCTCCGCAACGGGAGAGGCCACAACAGTGAGAGGCCCGCGTACCACAAAACAAAAAAAAAACCTCTGACCTCAAAAACTATCACTTCAAAGAAACCCAAATTTAATTGGATTGGTATGTGGAGCAATTTATGCCCAGGGCGTTGTTGAAAAAATAGAGCAATCGGACGGCAATTAGTGGAGCTAACTGTGCATGTGGTTAAGGAAAGAGATAGTCAAAGAGCGCTCTACCCAAGCTGTCGTCTCAGGGCCACTGTGGGCATCCCCAGGGTTGTGCCCCCCAAGGGGCAGCACCAGCAGCTCACACTGTGAGGGTGAAATTGACTTCACTGAAGTAACACGGCCAGCAGCTAAACATGGAAAAGCAAAGAGCACCTGTAAAGGTGATTATATAATTATTATAAGAGACAGTATAAATACACAGCTCCTGTCCCTTCTGTTAAGTGATTTAAAAAACAATAGTATAAAATAATATGTATATACTGTATGTTGGGCTTTTGATAAATAAAAATGTCATCTATGTGTAATATATTTACCAGTAACTGCACAAAGGAGGTTGTTGGGAGCACAGCTGTATTGGCCTAAAGAAAATGACTACATATGGTAACTTAAATCCACAGGAACAAGTGAAGACAACCAGAAATGATAAATAGGAAGGTGAATATAACAAACCTTAAGTAAATGTAAATAAACTTGCTGTACTTTCTTCTCTCATCTTCTTCAGAAGACATAAAATTATGTAAATAATTGTAATAGTGTATTGTTGGGTTTGTAACATTTATAGGTGTGCTTTGTAAAACAACAATGCCACCAAGGGGGGAATGGAAATAGAGCTATATAAGAGTAACGTTTCTGAAAGAAAGTAAAAATAAAATAGTGGGAAAAATTACTAAATAAATTAAAATGCTGTTTATAAAATTTCAATTAAATCAAAAGAGTGGTAGAGGAGGAAAAGAGGAATAAAAAAAGACATGAGACACAGAAAGCAAAATGTTAAATGGTAGCTGTAACTCCAACTATATAATAACAAACAATAACAAAATATGTATTAAACAATCAAAAGGCAAAAATAGTCCCACTGCATGGAAAAACAAAACTTAACTATATACTGCCTACAGGAGACACACTATATATTCAAAGATACAAATATATTGAAAGTAATAGGATGGAAAAATTAGATCATGCAAACAGCAACCACAAACAAACTGGAGTGGTTTTACTGATAACAGACGTAATAGACTTTAAAACAACAACAACAAAAAAATGTTACTAGAAATAAAGAGGAACATTTTATAATGGTAAAGGGTCAATCCTTCAGGAAACTATAATGATTATAAACATATGTGCACCTAATAACATATACCCAAATCATAAAGGAAACAAACTGACAGAAATGAAAGGAGAAATAGACAACTCAACAATAATAGTTGGAGACTTCAGCACTCCACTTTCAATAACGGATAGAAAAACTGGAAAAAAGATCAACAAGGAAACAGAACCACACTATAAACCAACTATACCTAATTGACTTATAAAACACTTCACCCAACAACAGCATAATACACATTCTTCTCAAGTACACATGGAACATCCTCCAAAATAGGCCCTATATGTGGTTATAAACAAATGGGTTGAAATAATACAAAGTGTGTTCTCCAATCACAATGAAATGAAAGTAGAAATCAGTGAGAATGAAATTTGGAAAACTCACAAATATGTGAAAAGTAAACAACACACTCTAAACCATTGGGTCAA